CTCTAGAGAAAAGATTGTCTTGTATGAATGAGGAGAGAAATATGCACGTAAAAATGTGGAAACACTGAAAGAAATGTTATTATGCATCATGCTCTTGGATTTGGACACTTTCGATTTAAAACACCTTTATAATAGATTTGTTTCTTACAAAACACACAGCTTTTTCATTACTCAAAGTCGTGTGCAAGAGTCGAGTGAATTACTTTTGCCACACATTCACTGCAGAGGATCATTGGTGAGCAAGTGTTGTAATACTTAATTTCTCTAAATCTCCAAAACAAACCCATCTACACCTTGGATGGCTTGAGGGAGAGCAAATTTTCAGCAATGTTTCATTTTTGGGCGAGCTGTTCCTTTAACTAAAATATGAAAACATGTAATGTAAATAAATGTCTAGATATGTAATGTGCTAAATAGAATCCATCTTTCATTGTGTGTTGAGGAAAGAGAGAGCGGGGCAAGAGTGTTTCAAGCACGTGGCAGATGCATTGTAGTCACCTCTGCTTGACATGGGTCACCTGGAGAAAACCCCTCTGGTGCGGAGACTGAGTCAAGGCCTTTGGTTACTACAGAGATCTCCATAGTAATCCTTCAGTCTTCATGATCTCTCAGAGGAAGACATAAATGCAGCCAGCTACTTTATCATCTGTATACATACTGTGTCTATGTTGCCTTTAGAAAAATCCAACAATATTTATATACAGTGGTGGCCAAAATTATTAGCACACTCATATTTTCAGCAGCGAAAAAATGGTTTTAAGTCAGTTATTTCTGTCTTTTGCTGTAGTGTGTCAGTAGGAAATATCAGTTTACATTTCCAAACATTCACTGTGCCATTAATTGGTAATAAATCCAGTGAGATTCTTGTTTGCTCCACACAGAGATCTGATCTGATCATCATCAGTCTGTCTGGAGTGACATGAAGAAACAGAAGAAACTGAGACAGACTCAATCCAGAAGAACTGTGTCTCCAAGACACTTCAAGAAACCTTCCTGCAAAGCTACAGAACTGTTCAAAGTTTTAGGCACTTGTGTAAAAATGCAGTAAAATGAGGATGCTGTCAAAAATAATGTCAAACATATATATATATATATATAATATATAGCATGATTACTTTGACTGCATATGATAAATCTCAAAACTAAAATTAGAAGAAAGACTACATAAGTATTTGTAGTTTGGGTCGTGGTAATATGGGTATTTGTCATTTTTAAACAGGGGAGAGTGGGGTGATTTGAGCCAGCGGGGAATTTGTTTCTAGACAACCTTAAACAAAATTGCTGAAGTTACTACATACAGTATATATGAAGAGTTGTCCATTTTACTCACCCTGTGATTAAGAGACCCGTGGAATAAATGGTAACTACATTTATGTTCAAAAATATGTTCAAAGTGATTTTAGTGTGTTCAAGGACTCAAGCTTCTTGTGTCTAAACAATTACAGACAAACGTGTTTGTGCTTTAGGAAGTTATAATATGAGGCTATACTGTTAGCATGATGTTAGCTCTAAACTACTGCATGATACAAGTTTGTTGAAATGGTAGAATTGGGGTAATTTGAGCCAAAAGTCTTGGGCTCATCCCTCCTTGGACAGTGGCTCACCCCTCCTTTTGATTATAAAGTATCATTTTACTGTAATTCTACATTATATTTCATTAATCTTAGACCAAACATTTTTTTATGTTGTTCTTGGTTTTGAACTTGATTTTGTTCTGAAATTGTTAAATAGGCCTTGTTTATGAAAATTGGCCATTGAAGTTTTTATGAAATTGTATGTAAACGTTTGTAAGTGGGATGTAAGCCCAATTCGGTAGGTCAGTTGCATTTTTTTTTTCAATTTGAACTTTATTTTTATTCTGAAATGTTTAAATAATTAAAATGCCTTCAAAGTTATGAACTGTATCTTGTAACAGAATAATGAACTTAACTCTATTTTGCTTCCTTTACTCCCTCCCTGGGCTCAATTGACCCCTCGCTGTGGGTAAGTTGAGCCAAGAGACCACGTCCTGAAATGTATGTACATATTTAAGTTCGACCCATTACTGTCGTGTGCTTACTTTAAACACAACTCAACTCACAACCCACTCTCCCTTACATTTAAATAAACTTTATATATTATAAACATAAATCATTTCATGATAAGAAAGATATCCGACCATACAATATCCTGACATACTCATACTTATTTTAGAATTTTCTATTATATTTGAATAGGCTTCATGCTTATAGCAGGTATTATTTTGTCACATGAGTTTATTCAGTGTTCAGTTATCATCCCAGGACATGTTGAAGGGAAATTAGTTTAAGAACATCTTATATGAACAAATTCTGGTTCATACTGAAAAGGAAATCACTGGAAGGTCATGTTCAACATAGTGTATTGTGGGGTACAGTACAATTGATCATCCAAAAAGTTGCTAATATTCTAAAGCATTCTGTATTTATTCTACTATATAATTATCTGTATGCAACCTTCCAAGAACAGCTGTCACTGCAGGGTGGGACAAGTTAGACACACATATGTACCTTTAAGGTACTAAAATTCATTTTTAGGGGTAAATATAGTTTTTTTCTGAGAGTGGAGAAATACTCAAATGACCTAATACTTTTGCTAAAACAACAGAAGCACTGGAAAACTCCATCAAAACAATGCAGTTCTTACATTTTTGTTGTGACCAAAGAACAGATCTGTTTGTTTTTCTTATTATATTCTCATTAGTTCACAGTTTTGACAAAGTTATTGCAGTTTACACAATATATGATTAAATGAAAAAAATAGAAAAGTAGTTAGCCTAAGCAGACACCATTTGCCGAATGCAACCTAAAAAATTCAGGTGACAACATACTACTGTTTGATATGTTTAGATACTGCAACTATTCACACGCATACATTTGTATTTTTTATTTTTTTATTTATTTATGTATTTTCCAGTAATGCGCGGAAAGCATCCAGAGCCAGCTCTCCAGCTGCACTTTTGATTGGCGTTGAACGAGCGCGCCATGTGACCCACAGAAGCTCATGCAGTTATCACATGAAGAGAGTTCTGCTTCTGTTCGATGTATTTAATTAGCTGAAGCTTTATGACTAACACGACTAACAGGTGCTGTTCTGTTTCCTCTGACATGAGTCAGCAAGCTGTGCTCTTGTTGAGAGTGCGTTTGGGAAGCTGATGAACGGCATCCAAGAATCCTGCATGAATATTTAATTGGAAAGTGGATGCGGCTTTAATTGTGTTTGCGGGTGACGGGCCGCATGACAATCCCAATACAGTCATCAGAGCAGAACCACAGCAGGAGCCCCGACTGACTCACTGCATGCTCCTCATTCACTCACTCACACTATAAAATGCCTTCGAGGAGAGGAATAGTTGGACTGACACTATTAGGCTGTCACAGGCTGGAGACCAGTCCTCATTAGCTGATTAATCAACAAAGAGAAAACCAACTCTTTTTTTAACAAGTAGCCGTCAAGATGCCTCCGGCGAATCCGCATCTCAATCGCACAGGTGAGAACTTGATATCAGCAATATATAGCGTTGACGAAAATAGAAATAAGCAATCTACATATATTTTAATTTGTGAAATATATGCAGGTAATTTAATAAAATGAATATCTCCTGCATCCAAAAATATGCGATGTAAATGTGTCATTTAAGCTTTTTGTCATATTGTAGTGATGCCCAAAACAGCAATAAATAAATACATATTTATTTTACTGTAATACATTTCCCTCCACGCTTCAAGACGTTTTGCAGATATATGTCATTGTAAATTGCTGAGTGTGAATTCGTGTTTGAAACGGGCAATACATATTCATTACGTGCTGGCGTCAGAGATCAATTAAATGACATTTACACGACTCAGTGTCTCATTGTTGACTTGTTCTCTGCTTGAGGTGTGAGAACAATAGGACACTGCGGACATGTGCGCTTCATGAAGCCCAAACCAGAACTGCTGTCATCTGTGGACATTGTCAGTATCATTAGCTACAGCTACATTTTTTTGGGGGTTCATAAGTACACACTATGTATGGTGTTTTATGTATATTTTAGTAAAAGTCACGTTTTGATGAAGCATCTTAAATCTGATAACCACTTTCAGATTTCCCCCCACACATTTTCATTCTTTACAGTACTTTATGATATTGTTTTGTAGCGAGAACTAGGCTATATCATGAATAAATAGACCTGCTACATTTTTAAATAACACGGTATTAAAAAAGTTATTCATAATGGTATGTTTTCAAAGAAATTAATACATTTGAGGTGGGTTGTGAGAACAGATAAACAAACGCATTGGATGCAATGAATCAATGCTTTGTTGTGAAGAAAGTGGTCAGGCTTTTATTGCTGCCACAGTGTCCATCCTGTGTGTGTGTGTGTGTGTCAGCATGCTGAGGGTTTAAGAGGGGAGGGCACTTAATATTCCCCAAGCTTACATGTTCTCCATCTGCGATTGGCCCATTGGCGAATTTGGACCCTATCACCGCAGAAATGTGCAATTCATCAGCTCAGTGAAGTTGAGCATCACGTAGACTTGACCTAAAGCTGAGGGGATGCTACAGTGACCCGTGTCCTATGATTCACTCAGGAATAAACACTGGCCACTGGTTTATGCTGTTTGGGGCCCCAATCAATGATCGTTTTTTTCGGTGTGAAGCAAGAAGAGGTTGAAGACATCCTGGAGACATGGCTGAAGGTGAGGTCGTGGGTGATCCTCCAGTGGGGGGTCAGTGAAGAAAGAGAGAGAGAGAGAGAGGGATAAAGAAGAGGGGGGTGGGACGGATCTCCTGCATTGTCTTTCAGATTTGGGGATCTCTACAAAGGGCTCTTCCCAGAAGCCCTGGGATTTTCGCGTCCTTACCGCTAAAATGTAGGCTATAGCCCAAATCTTTTGGTGGTTCGTTTCTTCTGGCGTCGGTAAAGTCGTTTTTATTTGTTTGTTTTGGATGGAGTTTTGAAATGTGGAGGAAAGTCTGAAGCGTTTTCAAAGCTTGGGATTTATTTGGAGGTTGATGGGCGAGATGGGTGAAATGGGCTCAGTTTATGAGCAATATTACACAGGTAAGCGGGTGCACATTTGTGCTTAATTACCGAGAGTAGCCTACCACTGATAAAATCAACTTTTATTTAATTTTTTAATTTGTGTAATTTAATGAAGGAATGTTGCATTTATATAGCGCTTTAATGCTAAAATATAGCCGTTTAAGGAAACTAAATGATAGGCCTGTATTGATTTAAAAAATAAAAATTATATTGTTTGATAGCCAAGTCTTTTTTTCACAACATGATACGGCTAAATATTGATCACTGGTGGTGATTCACATAATGGGGGGAAATGGCATGGTTTCTCATGGTTTGACTTGCGATATTCTCGGGGTTTGAATGTGCATTTCTTTAATTTAAGACATTTAAATGCATTTCTTGAGGAAAAGGGGTTAATTATTGCATTTTTAACTTTCGTTGCTGCCCACAAAATCTGCAAAGAAATAAGCTGAAAAGTTACCTGTTGAAGAATGTCTAGGCTTTACAAGCTATGGTCGGATTGTGCATTTATTTGCGCTTTTATATAGCCTAAACAAGCGTTGTAGCTATTTTAGATTTATAAAAGTGCGCATTTGGACAGTGTAAAATAAAGCAAAGTATATTTTTGTAGGGGAAATCCATACCGCGTTTCATTCTCTCGTGTTTTGCACGTTTCCACGCCACGCGTGATGCATTCGTAGGAGCCCACAGATTACATTTTTTCGTTCACTTTCGATAGCGTGATATTTGTGTTTGTAAAGTTAATTGAGACTGATTTTCTTGTGTGTGTGCGTTTATCTAGGGGGCTGTGCAAAGACCGAGGAGGAGGAAGCCGCGAGCTCCGAGGAAGACTCGAGCTCGTTTCGGGGAAGTGGGGTCTGTAAATGGTTTAATGTGCGGATGGGCTTCGGCTTTCTGTCCATGACCCACCGGGAGGGCATCTGTCTGGACTCACCCGTGGATGTGTTCGTCCATCAGGTGAGAGAGCGCAAATGAATGCCGTTGTTTTTAATGGACCGGACTTGTGTAGGCCTCTATCATCTCAATGCATTATTTTCTCATGGCTCAAACGACATAAACACTATGCAAAATTCAATATTTACAGTATCAGTAGGCCACGTTTATAGTTATTTCCTACCATTTATAAAGCTATTAATTTGTGTTCGGTGCTGATGCGCGAACATTAACGCCTAAATATGAGGTATAGGCTAAATCAAAACCTGCATTCTTAAAAAGAAAAGGTTTTCAGTCGTTTAGCAAAGATTTATTTTCTCCCACCAGTCACCCTTTTTAGGCTTTATACAGGGTTCTGGGCTGTATGGTGATTTGTTTTTTGTTCTTTCTTTCTTAAAGGTCTAGGACCATTTCTTAGAGTTTTAAACGCTTGTTTTATTTGTTAAGCTTATTTTAATTTTTTATCACAAAATATATTGTCCTGTGGTTTTTATTTTTGAATGATGTCAATATATGTTTGGTTCTCTGGAAATGCCACATTTCTTTTGGTGTTCATGAGGTAGAATGTTTTTGACTACATTTATTCGAAGAGGCCAGAAAGTTGATCATTTTTATTTAATACTTATGCAAATAAACAAGTAACTGTTTTCTGAACATTGTATGGAATTCAAAATTCATGGGTTTTTCCCCCCTTCAATCTCAAATAGGGTGAATACAGGTAGTGAGAACTTTTATTTATATATATATATAATTGCTGCTGTTTTCAATTATAATGCCAGTTAGCTTAGCCATTATATTTAAACGGCTACACCATACACTCTTAAAAATAAAGGCGTTTCAAACGGTTCTTCAAGCGATGCCATAGAAGAACCATTCAGTCAAAGGTTCTTTAAAGAAACATCTCTTTCTTACCTTTTTATAATCTGAAGAACCTTCTTTCGCCAAAAAAAAGTTTCTTGTGTGAAACAGAAAGGTTCTTCAGATGTTAAAGGTTCTTTATGGAACCATTTAGACAAAAAGGTTCTTCTATGGCATCGTGAAGAACCTTTATTTTTAAGAGTGTATGTAGGGAAAATGAATAAAATATGAAGTACAAAAACTGTAATATTTTAAATGCAACAGTGTAATATTTTGACAGTGGTCCCACTTTACCTTTATTCACTTGGTTTGGATGTATCCTTGGATTTGATTTTAAAAACACTAATGCAGGTCTGTCTTTCCACATTCCTTGCAATGATTGGCCTGAAATCACAAAAAAAGGCATAGGCGGAGCGTGTGTGGCCACAGCCGGGGAATTGAGGCAAAAATGCCACTAAATTAAACAAAAATGCCCCTGCACAAATAAATTAAATCTATTACGTCTGTTGCTAACAAAGTGTATATGAATAGACAGTGTCGATTGCGGCATTAAATCAGTGTTGCGCATTTTAGCCAATCACACACATATCTGTTGAGCTTAGGAATGCAATGGCCAATCAGAAGCGTTCAGATGAGTCATCGCTGAAACTCTTGCGAATTCTCTCATCATAAACAACAAAGCGCAGATGTACCAATGTAAGAGATTCATTTCACAGTGTGTACAGCTTCAGTGATTATAACGATAGTTTCGTTTTTTTGAGAGTGCGATATGTTTGATCAATGTTAAGTGATAATGTCACTTTCTATATATAATTT